GAACAATGCTATACGCGGTGTTACTGTGAAGAATGGTTTCGACGGCTGTGGTGCGGATTAGTGCGTGTATGTGAGGCGTTACGAAAATGGCTTCATATACGGCTGTCTGTACGTGGACAATATGTTAGTTGCAGCCAAGACCCATGCTAAGATCCGTAATATTACATATGCTCGTAGGAACGTTTAAGCCGTCTTGGAGACGAAGAGCGACCTCAACAAGAGTGCTGGAAGGCTGATGGTCAGGCAGACACGGTACACCAACGATGTGATGAAGCAATTTGGTTAGCAGAATGCCAAGATGATCGACAACTCTTGTGCTCTCAATCTCAAGCTTTCGAAAAATCAGTCGCCAAGAGCAGATGCGGAAGCCACTTAGATGCATTCAAGACCGTACCGATCTCTGATTGGGCGTTTTATGTACATTACGATCAGTACGAGGCTGGACATTGCCTATGCGGTATTGTAGCAGTCAAGACTCTGAAAAAAACCAAGAATACAACACTGACGAGCTGCAATTCGTGTGCTTTGGTAATTGAAAACAAAGCGCTTGTATTGAATCGTGCACGTTCACGGACGCTGGTCGGGGTAGTAATATCGACGACAGGCGTTCCATATCAGGCGTGTTGGTCAGGATCCGAATGGTCCAGTGGTGTTCAAGCCGAATTCCCGAGAATAGCGGTGCTGAATCATGCAAAAACAGATTTCATGGTGCCGAGCTTATGCAGCCAAGAGGTACTACAAACGCGCGCGACGTTAAAGGACATAGACGAGGGTCAGAAATCTGCAGCTCAAATCTTGGAGGACAATCAAGGGGCAATAGATTTGGCAAAGAATGCTGGTTATCATGCCAGAACCAAGCATGTGAACATCAAACATGACTTCACGGGAGAAAAAGTTGAGAAAGGTACGGTCAGACTCGACACGAAGCAACAAAACTTGCGAATATGCTTTCAAGGGACTCTGGACCAAGACGCTTAACTTTCTACTGAAAGGATAGGTATCAATACTAAACTAGAGCCTAAGTGTATACAGCATTAGCGGTGAGTGGAGTGTTATGAAAACGCCACTCAATGGATGTGAGGGACTGGCGATGACGTCACAAGACTTACGGTGATCATATGACACGAATCATGGTTACAGATATGATACAGACGATGCGACAGTTCTTCTTTGATATATATAAATCAGGTTTTAATCGGTAGTCTTAGAA